GGTTCGAAAATGTGTTTATCTAGTGATATTATATATAGCTGTTCGTTACATCTCGGTGTACGATAATGACAAAAAGCAATTTAGGCGTTTTTATGGTGCATTTGACATTTCAATATGGTTGTGGTGGTTCTAGGACCATGTCAGCATTTTTAAGAAATTGCAGGGCTGGTAGCAAGTCACTTTCTAGTAACTTAGTAACTTTTTTCAAACCAGCAACTAAAAAGTCTCAGGCCAAGTCACTAAAGTCACTTTTTCTTGTAATCAGTCAATATTTTCAACTTTTTTAGTATGAACTTATTTTAAGATTGATCATTCTTTGCTTCGTGACGTTTAATCGTCTTTCTCTATCCACAGGGTGTCTATTCATCTTTCTAAATAAAATTACCTGAGTTTTCCAGAACTTTGATGGACAAATTCCAGGCTTAAGAAAGCTATTTTGAAAATGCGTTCTAAATATGCTTTTTTTGCAGATCAAAAACAACAATTTTTCTAAGCGTTTTTAAGACATGGCAATCAGTTAAAAAAACGGCTTTGCAATCAAATCCATTGAATGTTGAAGTTTAGCACTTACTTAATTTCTCACTTTATAAAGGTCTCTTTATAAAGATCCAAGATCTAAAATTATTCAATGTCTTGAAGTTTCGCATTCCATGTACAAGTTCAAGATATTGAAAAGTTTCAAAGTGCCAGAATCAAGGAAAAAATAAATGATTTATTTCAAGTTCGTAATTAATGTTAAGATGTTCCATTTCAGGAATGTACAGAGACCTTCAGAGAAATTATGAAAACTTCAGAAATATTTCAGAAACTTCACAGGCGTCCACAGAACTTCAGGGAAATTTAAAGATGTTTAAGGGAATTCAATTTATTTCCGAGCAGAACTGAGATCCTCAATAGAATTTAGAGCTTAAGGAAAGCTTCGAAAACATCAATACAGATCATAGAATCAAAGAGCAATTTTAATCATTTCAAGAAATTTTAGAAACCACCAACCAGGTTTCGAGAAACTCAGCGAACTTCCGGAAACTTCAGCAAAGCTCCGAGAGAATTTCTGGAACGTGATAAAAATTATATGAACGTCCGGAAAACGTGAGAGATTTCAAGAACTAAAAAAACACTGCGAAAATTGAGCTTAGTTGACAACGAAGTTCCATTAATAAAAAAATTGCGAGAACTTTTAGTAAGCTTCAAGGAAATCCAGAGAACTTCTAATACATTTAGATATTTCTAGACGGTTTCATGATTTTCAGTGAAGTTCCGAATACTTCGAGGACCATCAGATCAGAATAATCCCATTAACTCAAACTTCAAAGTAAATTTGCCGCGACTTACGGAGTTCCGTGGAATTATGGGATATTCCAAGAATTCTATGATTGATCTGAAAACGTCAGAAGCGTCAGGGAATTATGAATATGTATCAGAAAATTAGTCGGATTATTAAACAAATTAAGAGAACTTCAGGTAAGCATAGATGAGTTCAGGGAAAATTAGTAAGCGTTTATAATGGTTATAATACCTAAGGAAAATTGTCGAAACTTCAAGGCAAATCATTTAATTTCAGTAAAGTTGCAGGTTCTTAAAAAATACTGATAAATTCAGGGCGGTCAAGCGAACTATGAGCAAATTCAATAATCGTTTGACGATTGGGATAGGCAACCAGAAAAGGTCCACAGTAATCGACACCAACTTTCAGGAACGGTGGCGCGGGTGTAACTCGTTCCGACGGCAAATCTGCCATTAGCTGATCCAACACTTTCGGTCTGCAGCGGAAGCACGGCACGCATTCGTTGATTACGGTGTTGGCTAATCGTCTGATCTGCGTGGGCCAGTACTTCTCCCGTACTCTACTTATGAGAAGCTGTTGCCCAGCGTGGAAAAATTTCTGGTGGTAGTGTATGACTACTTGTTTGCTCAGGGGATGATGATAGCTGAGAATCGCTGGATGTTTGCGACTCGCTGGAATAGGTGCCTTGGATAACCGACCACCTACGTACAGTACGTCGCCAACGAAAATTGGCGTGAGTCTGCTGATCGATGACGACGGCTTGACTTGATTTCCGCTCTGGAGTGCAAAAATCTCCTCCGGAAACGATTCCCTCTGAGACAAACGGATTAGTGATAGCATAGCTTCTTGGAGTTCAGCGTGACTGAGATACCCATTGCGTCTTTCTTCGCGATGGTGACAGTTGTGGATGAAGCGACGAATCCATGCAACTTTACGGATCAGCGTAGATAGAGAGGAATGAAGTGAAAAAATATCGCTGTGTGGCTTGGACTGTGCTGGAATTGCGACTGCACTTCGCTCTTCTAGCAGTGATTGCTCGAAATCTTCCTCAGGACTTCCCGCCGGCCAGGTGCTGCGGTCTCGACGCAGCCATGGTGGACCTTCAAGCCAAATCGTGCTGTACTGAAGCTGTACCAAATGTCACCTGTGTTCTCCAAGCCAGCGACATGATTCCAATCGAAACCCTTCGTAATGTGCTGAATCTCGGACACGCGATTCGCTACGAACATCTGCCACCTCGATGGCAGTGAAGATAACCAATGTATTACGATTGTCGGGTCTGTCCAGAAGCTTGCGGTTTGCGGAATACGTATGCTGTGCTTGACCTTCTCGTACAGATGACTGAGGAGCAGTGCGGATGACAACTCGAGGCGAGGGGTGGTTAACTTCTTCTTGTTGCGCTTGAGACCCTCCAGTGGTGCTACTCTCGATTTGGAAATCAGCAGCCGAACTTCTACTGAGCCATCCGACAGTGTACAACGTATGTAGAGGCATGCACCGTATGCCTTGTCTGATGCGTCACAGAAACTACCATCCAAGTCAAGATCCAAGTATGCCCCCTAATAGCTGTCTGAATTGATATTTATGCTAATATCTACAGGGAGATACAACCATCCCATATGATCATCGTCATCACCACTGATTGTCGATGGGCCCTATATGGTAAAAAATACATGGAAAGAGAGACCTGACATTTTGACGATGCACCTAAATCCTTCGATTTTGTCCTTGTTTTATCTTCAGCAAGGAATCAAAAATATCTCCAAATGACAAAATAACAAGCGATCAGCGAACCGAATAATAACGCTATGTCAGAAGTGGAAAACAATAATGATATAATCTTCACCGTTCTTTTTCATGACAAGCAGCTCGTGCGACCCAACTCATTCGGGGCGGTAGAAGGAAACGAGCAAATTGTTGGCAAGCTGCTTCACGAAGTAAAGCCGAAGATGATACACGTGTGTTAATGGGAATATTTTTGTTATGTATTTTCCAGATTCATATCAAGCTATGTCCTCATCCGTGTATATTGCAACAAAGCAGGCAAGCAATATATCATTATCCTTCTACCACTCGGATCGAGCGAGTTTGTCATGGTAGTCGTAGCAACCGTTTTGTCTGTATCGTTGGTTGATTTATGTGTTTGGATTCGCTGATCTTCAGTGTGACATGCAATCCTTTGAACATTTTTTATTAATTGAATTCATCGACACTCATAATAAAACAACAACCCATTTTCGGGGAAGACAAACATCTCGAATGAATATCGCAATCATCACCATTCCTAATGTTGTACTAATGTATCTCATAATTAGTATCATTTCACGAGTACACAAATTTCACACCCACCACTTGTTTACGTTCCCAGTTAATTTTATCTATCGGCTAAACATCGCAATACCCTTCCATTGCCAGCCACTTCCTACCGGATCTCATTTTTACACGTTGAAGGTAAAAGATTCGCATATTTGAACATTACAAAGAACTGCTGAATGTTTAGAGTGAACCCAGGCTGCTCGGTCATGGCGAAATGCATAAACATCAACTTAGGTGGCGCAAAACACGCCGATGGCGGGCGCGGGAAAACTCCCATCCAGATGCTGATGTAAAATAAACACCGCGCATCATTTTCACGTGTGCTCCATTTTTTTCCCAAGCAATATCGCATCATTTCGCTGTATTGCTTGGAAAAAATTAGATAAGGGAACATCCATTAAGTACGTCACGCGGGTGATTTTGTTATTTTAGTTTTAGGAAAAACGTGACGTCAGGGGGAGGGGAGATTATTTTTCCCAAAATTACATGCTTCCAAGGAAAGCGCATCTCTCCGTTGAGCGGTAGGATTTAGATTTTATTTTGGACCCACTAATCACAATCCGACTTTTTAACTCTCTTGGAATGTTTCTACTATAGAGCATTTTTTAGGGAAAAAATGCTCTTTAGTAGAAACATTCCTACAGAGCAGTTCCACCGCAAATGACGAATCGGATAAACTCGACCTTCTCCGATTGGCATGCAACTTTGCTTCGGAAATTTTGGATGCAAAAACGAAAGACCCTTTATTGCTGTCACACTGAGGCATTTGGCAGACTTTGGGTAATATCCTGAAGACTTGGGCCTTGCCTGATAATAATGCAAAGAAATGGGGCCGTCACACTTGTTCAACATTTCATTTTGAAGCCTGCACAGAGTTAATCAGCACAACTCAAATAAAACATTTTTGCAAATCATCCAAACAGCGTTGGTATTAATAGTTAATACAAGTTGAAGCTTGCCGCCAGTATTGTGCATCTGATTTCGACATTCTTCGAATTCCCATCATCTTCGTCACCGTACTTCGTTAGAGCATTCATTGTAGGGGGCAAACGGAAATAGATCTTCCTATCTTTTTTTTTATCCTTCAAATCAACAGGTATCCCAATCCCATACATGTGTATACTTGAACACTTTGGCTCTCGATTCGTGAGCAATGGAATCCTAAATCAATAACTAGAAGGGAAATTACTCGGAAGAAATTCAATCATCTCTTAGACTTTGCTCAACTCGAGAAGCGTGATGTGCGTGAATAACAAAATGTTTGGTCCTTATTTGATTTTCAACTTTTCCACACCACATGTTGATTCTGCCATATTTCTTTGATTAGATTCAGACGCGGAATATTTTGTGCAAAAACATAATTTCTGATGGAATTTTTCTCCCTTTTTGATCGTTTTAGGAAAATTGAACAAAAGTCTCAAGCAACAAGTCCCCATCAGGCTCGAAAAGCCACTGGCGGTGAAGAAGATTAATATCCATTACATGCCAGGCTGATGTTGCGGCGGAAAACTTTATCTATCATCGAGTGGAATTCCCTGCAAGCTCATGAACGTCGTCGGTGTGTGTCTGTGTCTGTGCCGTGGTGCTCCTGTGGTCCCTATTAAATGAGTGTTAACCAATCGAGCGGTAGTTAACCCAGAAGAACGACCCATTAGATGGTCGTGATTCGAAGAAAGAAAACGAATACTTCCCATCCTCCGTGTTTTCAGCCCCGAAGAAAATTACTCTGGAAATGAGCAGTTGAAGTGGTTTCCTCCCCCCTTTTTCCTCTCCGTATATGGTAGCAATTTCCCTCCCATCTTAAGTGAATTGAGGAAGTCACCGAGCGAGGGTACATGAGTGAGTATGCGAAACGTGTGCGTGAATCAGTGAAAAGTGCCCGCCCGATCGTAATAATAATTTATCAAAGTGCTCTCGGGTGCATTCACGCGCGCAACAAGGCAGTCAGTAGTGTAACGTGCGATTTCGGTCCACGATTGATGCCCCATTAGTGGGTGCTCCGTTCCGCTGGGGCAACTACTAGCACCATTAGTCGAGATTGCTCAAGTGGTGGGCGGTGATGCCACAGCCAGCACCGCCTCCACAACGTTTCTTCCGGGTGTCCTGGCGAACGCAACAGCAAACGCAAAAACGACGACCTCAAGACTTTTAGACGCACTCAGCGAAACCGTAGGGAACCTCCTAGCAGTCAACGGTTCGGACGCAGACGCCAACGCCGACCATCCGGATTACAACGGGAGCTCTGCGTTCGAGTACGGTGGTAGGTTCAGTCGATTGGTCCTGAATGCTACGGGGCAGGTGTTTGAAAATGAGTTCATCAACGGCAGTGGCGTTCACAGTGGCAGCAGCAACGCCGGCACCGGCATCAACGGAAGCAGCAACCAGTCCTACAGCGAAATGCCACAGATTCCGGAGTATATCCGTGCGACTTCGATGGTGTTCTGCATTATCATCATGTGCTTGGGGGTTATCGGTAATATTATGGTGAGTACTTTGATTTGATTACATTTGATTACACATGGTGGGTTTTTTTTATAAATAGGTTGCCATTGGGAGTTACTATCGTGGAGGATGCAAGTTTTACGTGTCATCAAAATGTAAAGTTGAAGGAGATACTTTATTAATACCATCATCAGACTTAAGTTGACATTGTTAGCACCAGATAGTGATGAATGTACAGAATTAATTGTTCCAATAGGGAACGCAGTGTAGAAATTTGTATAGAAGTTGAAAATGAACGAATAATCGAACGAGCATTTATGTTGCCAAGCTACCCTTAGATCATACGATCATGTGGTTGGTCCAAATTCTGGTGTGGGGAATCTTCTTTCGGGGTTTCCAAAAAGAAATGTCACTCGATTTGCTCATATATCGTCTATATGAAGAGAGAGTTCTATCACATAACGTATGTGGAACTAACGTATCAAAAGTTGAAGTTTTTCTTCGATTGCAATGTGTTGTATTGACCTGTAAAATTACTTATAACCCACAACAAATTGCATTACGGAAAAAAACGCTGTATGAAATTATCCATTGATTATTTTCTCTTGAAAATTTGGGTAGAAGTTGTTTAGAGTGTATTATTTACACTGTATTTTTTAACGCTGTCAGTTTTTCGACATTTGGAGAAAATGGCGTCACCCGAAAAGCAACGTCGTGAATTGGTTTTCCGCAAGCACCTGGGAAATCCTCAACAGCTCGGAATCGTGTAGTCAACGGTGAAACGTGTAATTAAACGTTACAACGAAACTCTGAGCTTCAAACGGAAGGAAACATTCGGTCAGAATGGATGTTCTATTAGTGATCAGGATCACAAGCGTGTCGTGAAAGCGTTTGAGCGGAATCCTAATGCTTCGGTCAGGGATGTGGCAAAAAAGTTGAATCTGCCCAAGTCTTTCGTTCAGAGAACCAAGGACCGGGAGGGACTGCACACGTACAAAGTGCAGAAGGCTCCAAATCGTGACAAATGGCAAAATACGGTGGGAAAGTCACGGGCCCGGAAACTGTACACTCAGATGCTGACGAAGCCTCATTGTCTCATCATGGATGATGAAACTTACGTCAAAGTGGACTTCCGGCAGCTTCTAAGGCTACTGTTCTTCACCGTCCAGCACAAGTTTGATGTTCCGGAGGAAGTAAGGAAGCAGAAACTTTCAAAGTTTGCCAAGAAATACATGATTTGGCAAGCGATCTGCTCATGTGGCAAACGTTCGTGACTACCGTGACTGTAAACGGGGAGTTCTATTTGGAGATTGAAGCAACACGAGGGCTCTACGGTCTTCTGGCTGAATCTAGCTTTGTGTCACTATTCAAATGTTGTCATGAAGTGGTACGAAGCCAACGGGGTCACTTTCGTACCCAAGACCATGAACCCCCCCCCCCCCCCCCGCACCAGAACTAAGGCCCATCGAAAAAGACTAGGCTATTATGAAGCAGGCTCTACGGACGCATCCTAAAGAAGTCAAATCTGAGGAAGACATGAAGAAAAAGTGGGTTTCCGTACAGAAGAAGCTGCAGCCAGATGTTGTACAGAACCTAATGAGTGGAGTTAAACGTAAGGTGCGAGCGTACGGTTATGGTATTGAAGTTGAATGAAATAAATATGCCAAAAGCTTACTTATGGGTTATATTTTATTGTCTTAAAGTTTGAAAAAGATCGGTCAACTAGGTGATTTTCTACAGCTTTTTTTTCCGCGATGCAATTTGTTGTGGAACACCCTTTACTAGGTCACTTTGGATTGGAGTGACCCATATATGATTTACGATTAACTGTGCTTGTTGGACGGGGTCTTCAGAAATTCAAATTTTTTTTTGTAAAACTCCTCTTTTAATGATTTCAAATACCTATAAGTTTTCTTCTAGTTACTGGTGTACCGAAATTTGAAGTCAGACTACCCTGTATTCAAGTAAGGTTCAAATTCCTGTACAATACTAATAATTTTCGTTTTTGGTTTTAAAATTATAATTAGCTTGGTTAATATATGGAATTGCATTGCAGGTTCCATTGTAACCAAAAAACGTTCCGCTTCCGCTATCATTGCGCTTGGGCCTTTATGCAAGGAACTAGCCAATATGGAATATTCTTACAATACAGATTAACGAATCTTATTTGCCGGGTAATTATGAAGCAACGATTTCATTTACGAGCATCACAACAAATCTATAATTTTCCTGTTCGTCGGTGAGTTTCAGTTGAATGAAAATGATCCAGAATTTGCATGCATGACAGCAGCTTTTGCTAAATCAATCGAACTGTTTTCATATTTCAGTTCAACCGATGCCGGTGATGTAGAAGTAAGCGTGACTGCTTTCTTACCCCAATGAGTCTGGGTTCAATCCCAGCCGAAATCGGTGGGATTTTTAAGATGCATAAAAATCTCTGGTCACGTCTTCCTTCGGAATGGAAGTAAAGCCGTTGATCCCGGCCCATGTGTGTTTGAATGGATGGGATATCGCCAGTGTGGGCCTTCCTGCACATTCGATTGCCGTCAATGAATGGCAATCGATGCCCGTCGGTGATTGGCACTAGATTGCGGAACAGAGACTTACGTTAAAATATAAAAAAAAATATTTCAGTTCTAAATCTAAATCTAAATTTAAATAATAAAATAAATAAAATACTAAATCAGTGCTGAAAAAATCATTTCTCCTACACTCACTTAACTGAAAATGAACAAAACCTTAACAGATTGACCAACTACCTGCATGAATTTGAAATTTGACATAACAGCATTCTCTTGATCAAGGCAACCTGTGAGTATCGAAGTCAACATTTGTTTTCCTCTGTTGTTGTCAATATTTATATTCGTCTTCATCTTGGTGAGGATGATTTTGAGGATCAAAAGCAAAATGATTATTTTAATTTTACACAAATATAGTGTTGAAGAATCTGTCGAGTTGGTTTTTACTCACAGATCGATGGCAAGTTATTGCCTCATGCTGAATTGATGATAATATAATAATTTTACTCCAAAAAAATATGATTATTTTGCTTTTGAGACTCGCTTCTGATTTGGACAATTTTGGGTTGGATAATCAAACACTGGTGAATATCAACAATTGCGTATGTATAATGAACTCATTTTGCTCGTACGTAAGAGCGAAGATTTTCAAAACAAACGCAATTCATCTACATTGGGTTGAAGCGCTACTCCTTGCTTATGATGGTAGATGACATAAACAGACACTGAACCAAGGGGTTGGTCACTCCACACAATGTGCCAAAAACAGATTTTGCACACCTGGGCACACTCATTGAAATAGTTTGGCACCCATGGTAAGAAATTTTCATGATCTTTAAAGTTACTGGCAACACTGAATTATTGTTTACAAATCAATGTTTTGCATTTCAAACCTAGAATTTTTGCTTTATTCTCCGAAATTGAGTTGGATCCGCAACTGCGAAAATCTTAAGGCCTGTCAACATCGCATGTATAATTACACCGGTTTCGTTATGAACAAATGCAAAAATTGCGTTTGTTTCGCTTGTAGTTTCTTGTGGGAGAAAAGAAGCAGCCAGGGAAGGAATAAGGAAGAGAAACGGCCCTTCATTGAACAGTTCAAAATCGGCTAGATCTAGATTTTATTTTTCTGTGGCTGCGGGATTCTGGCTTTCGCTGATCGCCGCTTCACGGGCACATAACCATTCCGATGGCACTGATAGTGATGGTCGCTGAAAACACTGGCGATGAAGACTGAGTGGTGTGGTGGTGAAAGCAACAAAGGTGAACATAGCTGCTAGTGGAATAACTTTTGTTCAGCACTTGTTTAATGCATCCACCTGCTTCTCGGAACACTTTCGTCGCATTCTTCAGTAGGTACATGACCTTGGTCACCTCAAACCGAGCATCCACGTTGTCCCAGTTCGCTGCCAGGTAGCCATCTGATTTCCGCAGCCTATTTTGATTCCCGAGTGTTCTAGCGATTTCAACATTGGCAGTAGCTTGCTCCGGCGGCTGTAAATTAGAGGCCAGTGACTAGGCCTATACAAACAGCAGTGTTTGACAGTAGGCAGCATGTCCCGGGCTTAAATCGTTTATTTTGCTGTGCTGGGCCCGCAGTCATTAAATTATAGTTCAGTTGATTTAGGTTAGCGACTGAAAGTCAATTTTTATATGTTATATGCGACAGTTAGAAGATACTGAGAGGTTAGCACATATCATCGGCAAGAGACGTGCGTGTGAGAAAATTTGCGAAAAAAATCTAAGGGCACCGGTGGGATTCGAACCCACAATTCCCATTCAGTACACAGGTGCATTGCCAATTATACAACGGTGGACCTATGGTCTACGGATGTATTTGGCTAATGACATATGAGTTTCGAATCCGTTTCCCTCCCTTAGTCTTTTTGCGCAAGCGTTCTCAATACACAACAATCGTCTATTACCGACGATATGTGCTTGTACCGCAGTGCTTGTAGTTCAGTTGTTTAGTTTCAAGTCTGATATTGCGATGTGCAGTTATACCAGCTATAACAGAGCGAGTATAGCAAAATGGCTTAACTTTTTGAAAGGCACCTTAGTTCGATTCCCGGTCCGGTCGAGGGAATCTTTCGGGTTGGAAATTTACTCGACTTCCCTGGGCATTGAGTATCATTGTGCTTGCCACACAATATACAAATTCATGCATTGGTATTGGCATCGAAAGTTTTCAATTAATAACTGTGAAAGTGCACTAAGTTGAGAGCACGCCATAAGCTAATATGCGATAAGGGGCTGTCCATAAACTACGTAGACAGATTTTTCTCCATTTCCAACACCCCCCTCCCCCCCGTAGACAACCGTAGATATTTAGCAACTCCCTCCTCCCCCCCCTACCTGTCTACGTGGTTTTTTCCAATACTCCTAAATACGCTGAAAACCGAAAAAATAGAATTTTTCTGAAAAACAACAATTCAAATTTTTATTTTTATACGTAGATATAACTAAAATATAACAAGAAGAAAAACTCAAGAGTAAAGTAAGAATTAAAGAAATATAAAAAAA